TGCTACTATAGCTACTATAGCTACTATAGCTACTTTACTATAGCTACTGCTACTGATACTGCTGCTGCTACTGGTGCTGCTGCTGCTGCTACTGCTGCTGCTGCTGCTGCTGCTGCTGCGACGACGACGACGACGGCGACGATGACGACCAATACGACCACCGCCCGCCGCCAGCACCAGCAGTACTAGTAGCTCTTGGCGCTGTTATGGGGAACTTTTGCAAGAGCAGTGTGCCTCGTCTTCAGTGCGACCCAGGGCCGAGAGAAGCGCCCGGAGAGGCAAACGCTCGACGTTGAGCGACTGCGGCGATTAGGGGTTGAAGGGAAGGGAAACAAGTTTCAAGATGTCTAGTGTGCAGGGCTTTGGGCTTGTCACGGGAAATTTGGTCGGAATGGCTGCGTGGTCTGGACATTCCAGATCCCAAGGCGCAATTGTAACAGAACACTGCGGGGCAGAGTGACATTGAAGTGCTGGTTAGTATTGCAAGAGTATCAACACACATGCTACTGTGGTTGCTGCTACAGAGGCCTGCATAGCTGGACGGAGTATTAAACCAGTTTGGAAGCACGTCTTTGCTGTTTTGCATCATTTTACATCGTGCTTCGTACTTCGAGACCCCCAACGAAGTTAAATAGGTAGGGTTTGCAGGCAGTGCGAAGGAAGTATCGGAATTGTACCGCTTGGATCCTACACACAAAGCCCTGAACCCTAAACCCTAAACTCCCTCAAATAGCTCTCAGCTGGCCTGAAAGGCCCTCATCAGGGTAGCCTTTGGCAGCCACCGCTTCTTCGGAACAGTTGCGATCGGTTTCTAAAGATGAAAAATCGGACGCCCAATGCTTGCACTTTGATCAGGGGTTTGCGGGAGCGCGATCAAAACGCTAAGCCGAGCTGGCTTACTTTCTTGCCGAATAGCGACGGACTGAACCACAGGGCAGGCACAAATTACCAGAAGTCACAGAATGATGCTTCGGAGATCGGTCCGTCTTCGACTTGGTCTAGCTACTACTCAACTGCTAACTGTAGCGAAGCGACGTCAAGAGTTCGTTACTTTTGCCGGCTGTGTCCTGCGCACTAAGATGTTGTCGGCTGATAAGGCCGCGGCTGCCAGATCGTCTTCGGAGAAGCCTTCCAGAGGAGCAGTGCGAGGCCGGCAAGGCTCACGAGAGACAACTTGGGATGTACGCTTTGTGAGAAGGGAAGAGCCCCCAAAAAGAAAACTCATTAAAGGAACCCTAAACTAAACCTTAAACCCGAAACCGCCAAAAAACACACAACCTCGCCAGGCCTCGAGCGAAGGAGGCTGAGCGAGACAGGAGGCAGTCCTAGCCCCGAACTGCAAGGGAGAGGCTTCGAGGTGTTGGGGTTTCCGGTGGAGGCAGCTACACTATGTACCATACTTTCATTCTATATTCTGTATTATATGAGAGATAGATATTGGAGTTACGACCGAGCTCGACTAGTTTCTGCAGCCGTGAGCCATGATACACTCCAGCAGCAGCAGTACGCCAGCACTGCCTCATAAGCCTAACAAGGGTCACATGACTCTCGAAGCTTGCAACCCGAAGATACTGGACAGCGACAACTACACCAACGGATGCAGAGAACACCCCGAATGCACCGAAGCGACGACCCGAAGCCAAGCTTTGGTCAGGTTACGAATGCTTTCGTTTAATGCTCGGTTCACCAAGTCCGCTTAAGCCCAAGGCAGGCAACCGTAAGCCACCCAACTGCGATTTGAGCCCGGATCAACTCCTCAGCATCTGTCTGAGAATTGCCTGGGCCGTTTTTATCACTCTCGGCTATGGCTCTCGCTAGAAAACTTTGGCGCGGCGTCCGAAGCTCATGCTTAAGAGTCCTATGATATCTGATTCTGTCATCTGCCCTGTTCCAATAGGCCTTGCAAGAGCATTGGGCTTGCCGCAGAGGGCCCAAGCAGGCGAAGCAAGTGCACCCTGCATCCGAAATCCCCTTTGCGCGCGCAGTCTTCTGAGGTTTAGGGTTTAGGGGAAAATTATGTTTAGGGCTTAGGGTTATTCATGTTAGAGGCTGTTGCCCCAGCAGTGAACACGTCTCAATCTCTTCCAGGCTCTGGAGCGGATTTGGATTCCGTTCCTGCTCGTTGTGGTGGTTTAAAGAAGCGAACAGGTTTTCGAGCCAACCCAGCGAGGCAGGCATCTTATTCAGACTCTCACTTTCGAGACCCCGGCCCGATGTGATCCGAGCGAAGGCAACCTCCTGCTCCAGAGAAACTCCGCGCGAGAACGCGAAGCCACCTCATGGTCAGCGCCCTCACCCGTCGTGGAGGTTCGTAGATGCACAGGCTTAAGGTGTAGGGTTAGGGTTTAGGCCTTGAGTCTAAGGCTCGGGCTTCAAGCTGTAGGATTTCAGATTTAGGATTTTTCGTTTCGGGGCGCAGAATATGGGGTTTACGGTGCACAAGGTGCTTCAGAAGACCTTCCCCGGAATGCTCCTCAGCGACTTGCTTGGATTTTGGAGCCATTCTCACAGGCTATGACAGCTATGATAATTCAGCCAGGAGTAGCTCGGATGGTAAACACTTGTATTACGAATGTTTCCGGCCTTTCTGTTCAGAAGTGTTGCATGCCACTTGTTGAGGCTTTGGGCTGTTTCGTGTTTAATTTGGGTCCGAGACATCACCATAGCAGGGGATTCTTGACTCGTCCGAGTAAGTAATAGATAGAATCAGACAGAACTAGGTTTCGCATGCCACACGTGAAAAAAGAGCTTGAGTACAGAAACAAGTGTCATGGACCATGGAGCTTGCGAGACCTTCCCCAGGAACACATATCTAGGGAAGGCCTTTGAGTGTCTTACTTCTACTGTGCGATTACATATTCCGAGTGCCCAAGAAGCTCGAGGTCCCAAGGAATAAGGCTGAGGGCTCCGAAATTCTTGCCCGAACCCTGCCATGCCCAAACCCTACCCATCTGCCCTTCACCGACCTTGTAGACCTTGTGGTGAGCTTGGTGATGGCTGCTCGGTAGCAGAAGGCCTCCAGTGTCAAGGTTCTCGAACGAAGGGCAAAAATTACCCGTGCTTGCCTGGCCATAAAACCAGCTACTAGCTCACTGTGCATGTACGAACCGTGCGTGGAGGCTGCATGTGAAGTTCATGCACATGTGCCATTTGGCCGAGTTCTGTTTCTAGGGATTGCCGATCTCAGGCTTGGGGAGGATGTTTGAGTGGGGGCCAAGCCACGCTTACAATCCATAATAGGCTTCGAAGCCCTTGGAGAGATCCCAGAAGCCCGAACGAGGTCTCAATCCCTAATTTTATTGGTGGGGGCCGGGCGATTTGTCCAAAGAGACGCCACGAGAGAAGCTGGAGCTCATCACCTTGGCTAGCAATGGCATCTGAGCACGGGACGACACGGAAAGAGTCTCCTTAGAGGCCTGAATATCTACAGTTACTAACTAATACTATGTTTTGGGATTCCTTGTGCATGCAGCTTCGAACGCCCATGATTCTTTCTGTTCTCAAGTTTAGGTCGACAGGGGTCCATGATTGCCTTCGCTGTTTCGACAGCCCGGTCCAGTGCCCATTTGGGCTGCAGGGCGTGATTGATCGCCTCAAACCTCCTACAGATTGCAAGGGCAGTGCGTGAGATTGGTAAATCCAGCGGTGCGTGCTAACAAATATGGATGGGAAAAGCCTTCACCTATTCAGGCCCAGACGTCAAGGCTTCGTCTGCTGGACCTCCGCGACTCCTCTTCAACACGTTTTCATGGGCACTGCGTCGCTCCCTTCACAACACAGAAGTCGGTTCCTCCTTAAACCGTAGTCCTGGTTTGATGGGTTTTGCCCCAAAACCCTAAACCTCCGAACGTCTTTGCGGATGAGTCGCTGTCCATGTCACAGTGTCTGCGAGCTCCCGTGGATCTGAGGGCAGCCGGCGAGTCGGCTGCCTCAGTCTGCCCTCTGCATGATATCACCCGGTTTAGGATTTAGGCTTTAATGCTTTTTACAGGCATGGGGTACCCCAAACTCCACACACACACACACACACTATATTATGTGTCTCTATATATATATATACACACACACACACCAAATATGTCACTCTCATGATGAGCCTCTCACTGGCTTTCATCATGATTCGCATCCCTCCCGGCCGGATGCGGCGAGGCGGCGGAGCGGGCGGAGGCCAGGAGGCGATCTCTGGGCGCGCAAAGTGTAGATCTTCCTGATCGAGTTTGGGTGTCCTTTGTAGGGGCCTGAATATTTAGAATTGGGCTCTGAGGTGTCATGATATGATTATGTAGGGACTATAAGGGAATATGATGGCCAAGTATTCAGAGGTCTATGGGCTCCAGGCTGCGAGTTTGAGGAATTCGGAGTCACGGTGAAGGTCCTCGAAGAGCCCAGAGTCACGACACAGGGCAAATGGTTTAATTACGGTTTGAGGGCTTGCAACAACTGCTGAGGCCTAAATCGTCTCATCGAATTCGGCTCCACGCACAGGCATCCGAACACGCACATACTGCCGCACTACGGGTTAACCTCCAATCCAGCTGTACATTTCTGCAGTAGGAAGCCCTTGCCTTCTTGAACGGTTCACACGTGCTTTCGACCAGCAGCAACCCTTCCTTGCCTCTCTCCAGGCCAATGCATCCGGCGAAGAGTCCTTGGCACGGGCTTCTCTTAGTGCAAAGTTTCCCTTTCATGCTTTACCTCTCGGCCAGCCTCTGCTGTAGTCCGAGGCTCTGAGCCCGAAACCGCCTGCACCGAAGGGTTTTGAACCATTTTTCCCTGACCCTTGCATTGAGGCACCCGGCCTGGTCTAAACACGCCTCGGCCGCAGCCATGTAGCCGGCTTTCTCTCGGGTTTCCCCGAAAGAAAAGCCTGGGAATGTTTGCTCTTGTTTTCTCCTGCTTTCCAGATTTCCCTCAGTTAGAAGCGGCTACCTTCACGGCACCAGCAGCAGAGCACCGGCACCAGCACAAGCAGCCGCACCAGTCTCTACATTAGCACCAGCACCAGCAACCAGCACAAGTGCCAACCAGCACCAGCGCCATCACCGACAAGAAGAAGAACAGCAGCAGCAAGATCAACAGCAACAGCAACGACTACGGCTGCCACTGCTACTACAACTACAACCGCTATCCCTATCGCTACCGCTGCCACGATCACTACCACTACCACTACCACCACGACCACCACGACCACGAAAATGACCACGACCAAGACCATGACCACGACCACCACGACGCCGACTACCACTGCCTGCAAAGCACTTCTACTTGCTGCCCTTTCACGACGAAAAAGCGAGTTTCCGAATAGTTGTCCTAGACTCTGCTTGCAGCCTGGCCGCAGGAGATCGCGTCCGGTTCCGGCGAGAAGCTGGGCGTTAAGCTTGGCGACTTGCACGGGTCAGCATCGTCCAAGTCAGCGTCGCTTGGCATCGGTGTGTCCAAATCTCCCTGGCCGAGTTAGGGTTGCGAGGCGAGTGGTGTATGCACTGCGGAGGACCTGGCTTCCCTGCCCGATCTGTTGCAGCAGCGCCCAGTTGAGGCTGCAAGATGGGCAGCCCTCCGATCTTCCCTTCTAATTACCTCTGTCATCTGGCTGCGCTCCAACATCCCGGTCCCCAAAACAGGCAGACAGTCCGAGAACTCCCAAGGCCTGGTGGCTCTCATGGTCCTCTTGAGCGTCGGGCCCAGGAAAGGGTCGAAAGAACGGCGAGGCGGGTCCGTTCACCTGAGGGGCGAGGAACATTGGGTTCAAGCGGATGCTCTTCATCGCACTGGCTCCGCCCGGCCAGTGCTTGTAACTTGGTGAGACTGAGGCTTAGGCTGCTGAAGACTAAGATGGCGGTGATGATGATGACGCAGTGGTGATGATCATCAGTGTGATGGTGACGACGACGGCGAAGGTGCTGCAGCTGTTCTCGTTGATGACAGCAACTGTCATGGCAATGGTGAAGGTGATGGTGACGATGATCAAGTAATTGCTGGTGATGACGACGATGACAAGATAACGACATCGATAATAAGTGCTAACCATGATGGCAGGAATGACGGCGAGTTCATGATGACGATGAGGAGCAGGAGGAGGAGGAGGATGCTGCAGTTAAAGACCCTGAAGCAGCATGAAGCCCTACACGCCACACTCCAAACCGAACCTGCACAGCCCAAAATGCCGAAATTCTGAAGCCCAACTTTTTTGGGGTTCCAGGCCGACACCGAAGCCGGGGGTAGCTGCTGCAAGCCTCCAGATAGAAGTGCATGTCACAAGCTTGAACAAGGTTGGATTTCAGACGTTAGATCTGATCGATGTTCCTTGTCTGGATTTTGTTTTTCGCAGAACAACTCCTTCCTGGGATTTTCGCCCTTGTCACAAGTATTTAAGACTTAAAGTTCAGGATTCAGGACTTAAAGTTCAGACTCATCGTCGAGCTTGTCTTGAAGGCATCTAGGCAAGCTAGGGGTTATAGGGTTTAACGTTTAGAATCAAGGGTCCGGGGTTTAAGTTGTAGGACGTAGGATTCAAGCTGTCGGGTCTTGCGGGTCAGTCTGTGCTGCTGGATTCTTATTATGAGTACTGCTCCAGCTGTTGACATGACTAGCCCTCACACCAATGCTTTGGCAACAGTTATAGCCATCGCGATCGCCATCATGATTCTCGACGTTGGGTTCAAGATAACGACAGCGTTGATTAGAGCAACAGAACATAACAGAACACCCTAATGTACACACAACAATAAGGCGAACAGCAATAATTGAGACATGCCGAGAAGTACACGCACAGGACCTCGATACTGTACCCCAGCTGTACCGTCCTACACCTTCAATAGCTCTCTAGCAATGATTTCGGAGATAGTCTCACGTGACTTGGTATTTCAGTCTCGGTCGGGGTTGAGCTGACATGCATTAAACATGTTGTTCACTTGTCCGACCGCTTTCTTCAAAATGCTGCCTGCGTGACCACAGTCGGTTCCGGGATCTTCTTCCTCCTTTGCAAGAGCATGGACCACCACCACCTCAACCTCGAGGCGAAGCGCGTTTGCTACATCAGTAAGTTAATCAAGCCGGAATTCCGTTTGATACACTACACAAAAGAGTAGAACAGAATCGCATAGAACAAAATAGACCAGAGTAGAACAGAATTGACCACAGCAGAGCTTAACATAACATAACATGACATAACACAACATGACATAATGTAAGGTGCAATGTCTGACTCTACCCTGTAGCAATATATGATATACCAAAGTGTAATACAATTTAGCACAACAATGTACTGTAATGTGACAGAGCATACAAGACAAATTATAATATGATGCAGTCTCATATAATATGATGAAAATGTGATATAATATCATAACATGCTGTTATACGAGCTAATACGTGAAAATATAATGAAATCTATCAAACAACCTGACAAAATAAAGTATATAGTAGCATAAGAAAATACGTCAAACATCATATGGTATGTTGCAATATGACATAATGCGCAGTGATATTGTAAATACTGAAACAACCAAGAACACACTTGCAACAAAACGGTATGGCATGGTATAGATAGTACAATGCAATATGAAAAGCATCGTAAAATGTCAAGCTAAAGCAATATTCTGACAGAATATGCCCAAACCGAAAAATAACCTGATGCCATACAATACAACATAACACAACATAACACACTGCAACAGAGCATAATGGACTATACCGAATCCAACAGAATACAGCAGACAATAATCGAATTTGATAGAATAGCATAGAATGTAACAGAATAGGTTAGAAAAAGATAGAACAGACTATACCATAACATGGCAAAACATGATGCAGCATAACACAGCATGACATGGCATAGCAACATGATATAGCAAAACATAGTAAACTATAGCGTACCAAAGCATAGCATAGTGCAACAGACATCAAGTAGTGCATTATCATGATATAGCATAGCCAGCATAGCATGTTACCGCTTAGCATACTATAGCATAGTAAAATATTGGTTAGGGTTGGGTGGGATGAAAAGAGCATAGAATAGTATGGAATAGCATAGCATAGCATAGAATAGACAAGACTCGAATCCGAGAGAATCAAATGGACCACAAGATGGTTGGAAGAGAAGAGAATACAATACAATTGAAGGCAATACAGCATAATGTTCTATTGTCGAGGAGAGTTTAATATCACATGAGATCCGGCATGTGATTCCTAAAGCCTTGCGAGCCACATGCTTGCCTGCCTCCACACGACAGGCAGGAAAAACGAGAACAGGATTTGGAGATATATTGTATTCTAGGATGCTTCATATTCAGGAATCCTACAGAATAATTAGTATTGGTTACTAATCATTTAAGCTTCTATGTTAAGCGTGAACATCCCACAGCGATGCAGTCCCCAACAGAAGGCGGATTTTGCAGTTGCGTCGCTGGTGCAGCTTGCGACAACTCGTCTGGCCCAGTTCCTGGCAGCTGGAAATACACCAAGCTTGGTGCTGGCCGAAATCATCGTAGAAGGCTGAGACGCAGATCGCACGGCTTTTAAAGCCCTGGGGGATCGGCGACCTTCGCATTTCGGTACTAATTCTGGGAAGAAGAGTTCCATGCAGCTTCGGACGGAGGTTCGTGCACACCTGCGACGTGCTCAGCGAGGGTAGGAGCTTTTTTCGGTGAAGTGCACACCCATAACTCTGACAATTTGGGTTCCCTCTTCGTCATGATGCCTGTGCACGCGGCAGAACATGATATGCAGCATAAGGCTACTGCCTGATTACTTTATGTACTGTTTTAGGCCACAATAACCCTTGTCCGGGTCATGACCTCGTTACCTACAAATGTAAATTGCAAACCATCGCAACAGGCTCTCCTTCCGTTTCGCCGTCGTCATCCAAGCTGCGCGAGCTTTCTGAGAAGCTGCGCTCCGCGGCCTGTGTGCTCGTGAATGTCGGACGTGCGTCCTAAACTTGCGACAAAAAACATGCAAGGTTCAGCGCTTCGGCCTGTCCCAACCGAGTAGTGCGCCCTGTAGATAAAGGCCCTGCTATATTAATTTGATCGATCAGTCTTACCGTCGATGAATGTTGTAGGACAGGTCCTCCTCCCAAATAGTTGAAAGGCTGACTGGTTAGATCGATAGCAAAAAGAACGTACAACATTGCTATCTTGGATCATGTTACGCTACGAACTGCTAGGAAGGGATGAAAACCACACCGAGGAAGAAGAAGGCACATGACAATAATTTCAAGGCCGCGTGCTGGGTCTAGGAGTTGGCAGGTCGCAGCAGCTGGTGGCGGTGCCAATTTCCGTGCCGCTTGAAATATATTGTGTAGTACCAGTAGTTGCAGAGGACTACAGTGACTACAGTGTTACTATTGCGACATTTGCATTACCTGCATTCCCGCGGCCTGGTCGTCGACTGCCGGGGCTTTGCGCTTGCGAGGTGGCTCGGTCTCCTTGCAGGGGCTGAACCGTTCAGAGCATTTGGGCCCGGAGGTGTTCTTGTTCGGCGGGCGATCGGGCCGTCGGGGCATCCAATGCAAACAAGAGGCAACGATTCGAAAAATGCCAGGGCAGTCAGGTTTCGTTAAAGAGATGAACCTTGATCTCTGTGATACTGCTATCCAACTCGGAAGCCCACACCGGGAGCAGAAAATGAATTGCTTTTTGGCTTGACTATCGACATTCACAAGGAATACTGGCAGCGCAGCTCCTCTTCGGACTCGGTCTCTTGGCGCTCCTCGCCCTTGCAGTCAAGCGAATTGCCAAGATGCGGTGTTTAGGGTCCAGGGAACCTTAGGGCAATCATGGTGCACTGGGACCCCAAGAACGAGCTCAAGCCACCATTAGGTGCAGATTGCACTTGACGGCTCTTTCAAAAAATCCGCCCAGCAAAGGCCGTCGGTGTCTGCGCAAGGAGTGTGATCCATCGGAGTGCTCCTCTTCTGCTCGTGATAAATCTGGTCGAGTACTCGTCGAAAACATCGGGTGATCCTCGAAACAGGCAGCTGGAACAGCGGCGCCATTGCGAGATGTCCAGGATGGAGTCGCAGACGGCATCAGTTTCCCCACGGCCAAGTCGCATGCAAAAACCTCTGCTACGCTTGCATATCCACTGCTCACCTCAAACCGGCAGGTCCACGCAGCATGCCGGCCCTGGCATTGAAAGCCTTCCCATGCTGGCACAAATTCATGGATAGAACCCCCGAACTCTAAAAGCCTTGCACCAGAAGCCAGAAGTATCCATAAAATTCCCTAAGTCCTGAAAACAGAACCCCCCCACCCCAAAAAATTGCCTCTCGCTCGCTTTCGTGGTCAGACGCTGGCGGGGAGCTTCCAGGACCTTGCCAGCACACAGAAGCTGCAGTTGTCCCTGTTGCAAGGGCTCCTTAGCAATGAATCTAGTGCTCCTTAGCTCTTCCTTCTATAAGGAAATGGAGTCTCTCGACAGAAGGTCGCACACTTCGAATCCCCCCTAGGCACCCAGGCCTTCCCGTTGGCTTGAGGGCCTCGATGAGCTTTCTTCTGGCCCTTGGCAGAAACTTCGACTTCGGGGATGTAGTTCGTCTGCACTCGTTTTCCAGGCGTCCACCATCAGATCTGACTCGCTTAACGACAGAAGCACACGCAGAGTCTCATGACGTTAACGTGCGCCACCGTAGTTGTCCAATCCGAATGCCACTCCAAGCTGCCGGATTCCAAGGTCCCGCTCGCTGCCTGCCACGGTCATTCACGTTCCCTTCGACTGCAAGGAACAAAAGCTAATGGCTGCTGCCGACGCATCGAGACCAAATGCAAGATCGGCATTGAAACAACACGAAGCGGTGGGCTCGCCTCCGCCTCCGACACACCGCTTTGCTCCTGCCGAACCTCAGCAGACAAAAGAATGGACATCAGCATTGCATAGCATTGCTATGAATTGCACAGCAAAGAGTTCTCGTTCCAATGGACCCCTTCAGACTTGAGCAGTCGCTCTGTTAGCCTTCAAAAGCGGGCGCGCCCAAAAAAGGGGAATGACGCTCACAGCGGATCTGGGAACGCAACTGGGGAACTTCCCGTGGGGCTGCAGATCCACACGCACAGTGCAAAAGGCCCCTCGAGTCCTAAAATTCACACACCTGCTAGCTACGAGCTCATCTCACAAACAGCTCGCGGATCTTGGATATACCGACAAGTTACTTACCGAAACCAAGCTGCATGGAGCCGCGGCACCCCACCCGAAACATCCCGAAACTAAACTCCTGGTGCGGGTCCCGGAACCTCTTCGTAACTGGCCTCCGTGCCGGCATCTGCCACATCCACCTCTGCATCTGTGCCCTCGCTTGAAGGGCGATCGTCCTCCGTTTGCCAGGAGGTGGACTCCTTTGAAGCGCGTCTGTCCTTGGCTTGATGAGAGGCCATAACAATCTAAACCCAAGGCAACCGGTTGCCTCGGCACTATGCCATGATTCCCCAATATTGAAGAAGAGGCACCACAGAGACATCAGGTACCTCGAGGGCAGCCTCGGAATCCTGGCAAGCTTCTGCAGCTTGGCGGTTAGGATTTCGGAACGGTGGTTTCTAGATTTCGGAGCTTTGCAGGTTGCACTGTGTGCAGAAAGCGTCAGGGCTTTAGCAAGGCCCTCCCGAAAAAGCTGCTGCTGTGGACTACAGCAGGAGTGTTTGGCAATTCACACCCGAAGGCAGACATTTCAGGCCTGCCCCTCCTGCCCCTTGGAAGCCCCCAACCCATGGCATATCAATCATACCCTGCGACCCTGACAACTGAAAGCTTCTGCATCCTGGCGGTCTTCGCGCAAGAATGTATGAGTACAGTCGACATTGCTATTCTTGCTGCTTTCAAGCATACTGCTGCAAGACAAAAAACGGTTCAATTCTTCTTACATCGTTCGTTCTTACAACTTCTCATCCTCCCCACCCCGCGGTGCCTCAACCTCCTCGGACTCGTCGTGCCGATCAGCGAAGCCGGCCGCCTGCTCATCCTGCTCGAGCGTATTGCTGTTATTGATTGCGGCGACTACCCATGCTCTCCTATCCTTCTTACCACTATAGTAGAAGAAGCTTCCAGTACTGAGACTTGCAGCAGCAGTACTCATGATGGTGGTGGTAGTAGTAGTAGTACTACTACTACTACTACTACTACCACTACTACTACTACTACTACTACTACTACTACTACTACTAGTTGTGGTGACAGTCGTAGTTGCTGATGTTGTAGCAGCTACATTGCCTGCTCCTTCTGCAGCTCAATTATACCAATCTTGGCCGTCTTGTCTGCCTGTCTCTCCGGGAGAAATAGTGGCTACCAGATAAAATTGACCATCCCTCACCACATCACCCCACCCATCACAACCGCAGCAACCAACTGTCGACTCACCAAAGTGACAAGTCGGCAATCCTCGCCAACAATCTCCACACATCTACTACATGTCTCACCAGCAAGCTTAAACGTCCACCTTTGAGCAGTGGAAATGACATGCAAAAGCCCGAAAGAACTAACCCCACGCCTCAGCTTGTATCTCCCCGTGGGCGCCTCGACCTGCTCGGACTCCTCGTGCAGCTCGGCCAAACCAGCAAGCTGCTCGTCCTGCTCGGCGTACTTCTGTTATTGATTGTGATGACTATTCATGTTTTCCTATCATTGTTACCACCATAGCAGAAGAAGCCGAACTGCTTCCAGTACTGGTGCTTGCGACAGCTTTGCTGTTGGTGGTGGTACGACTAGTAGTCGTGGTAGTCGTAGGAGTAGTAGTAGTCGTCGTCGTCGTGGTAGTAGTAATAGCAGTAGCAGCAGTACAAGTAGCTGTAGCTGTAGCATACTGTTGCGGCTCTAAGCAGCAGCACCAGCAGCAGCCGAGGCCTTCATCTGCTCGTCGACATGTAAATCAACTTAACAACTCATGCTACGAATAGCCTCACATTCCAACTGCAGTATGCTCCTCCTCTTCGCCCGGACTCGAGGCCTTGCTTGACGCAGGGCTCTGCTCCTGTGCGTGAACGGACGGTGGATTGATGAACAAACTGGAACCTGTCAGGGCAAGCTCTTGGAGGAGGGGACCACGACCTACTACTGCAGGCCAGGGCGTTCCCGGCTTCCAGCACCAACACCTATCCTATCCCTAAGGCGCGGCCCTCGGGCACAAACAAGCAAGGTAAATTTATGCGCCAACCGTCGCTGCCTACCCGAACGCTCCAAGCCGCAACAGTAGTGATTATGAGTTTAAATCTCAAACCCTCAGTCTCGACAGTGCCGCGGCTCCAGTAACCTGAGGCTCCTAACTCACTCCTGCACAAGCTAAAGGCATCCCATTTGAGAGATCATCGGGCTTTGAAGAAGATTCCATAGGAATGAATAGGGATGCCCCAACCGGACACTCTGCAGCGAACACGCAGCCTTGCAGCTTAGATGCTCGGAGTGTAGAACTGGGGCATTGATGGGAGCGTATGTCTGATTTAGAGTTGCAAGGACGACACAGCTTCAGATATGTAAGGGCTTCAAGCAGCATGACGGCGTGAAGAAGCAGACAAGTCAATTTATAGATCACAATGCAAACACCACTACGAGTAATCGCCTCAATGGTCGCAATCTTGCCACAGTGATAGGTACAAGCCATTGTCGGGACCACCAAAAGTGTTACTAACAGCAAACTGAAAACAAGCTCAGCAAACGCCTGGCGAAAACCCAGAAGCCCGAAAACCCTGAAGCACTAACCCTACAAGTAAGACACTAAATCGCGAAAATCCCGGAATCCCGCAAAGCTAAAGCACGAAAAGCCTTAAAACCCCTCAACCCCGGATCCTTAAGACCCCTTTACAGACCCCACATAACATAGAGCCCCTTACCAAACCCCTCTCCCGTCACCGCGCGACCGCCTCTGAGGATCCAGGCAGGGGTTCGGGAGAGTCGGCGGGATCACCTTGCATGCTGCGACTTGAAGGATCTTGGGGGTTTAGGGTTTAGGGTTTAGGGTAGGGCTGGGGGGGCCCCTCCCTGTACGACTTGAAGGATCTTGGGGGGTTTAGGAGTTTTTGGGCTATGGCGGTCTTTAGGGTAGGGCTTGGGGCGTTGAAGACTTTCCTGGTTTAGGGATTGGGGGACTGGGGCTGGGTTTTGGGTGTAGGGCCTTTGAGTACGTCGTTAGAAAACAATGGAGGAGGCAGGGATGTCTGAAAGCATGTTTTCGGTTGTCAGGCTTCCGGCAGCTCTTTTTTCGGGGGAGGGAGGGGGAGTTCGCCGCATCAGAAGCCTGCAAATGGCATCCTGCACAGCATAATTACCATCTCCAAATCATGGATCGACCATAAGCTGTCCGATTCCCCTGTGTAAGACAAGCGTGACAGAACATGCTTGCGCTCAGAAATTCAATAGAGAACTACCTTGGCGGCAACCAGTGTCGCCTGTCCCGGCACGTTGCTCCGGTGAGTAGCCCGCGTCGTCTGGCAAGATAAGGCCATCGAAGGGATCGGGTCTGAGAAACCAGGGTAGGTGTGAGCCCTACGCCAAAGTGGTGCTACTCATCATGATGATGATGATGGTGATGATGGTGATGGTGATGGTGATGAGGATGATGATGAGGAGGAGGAGGAGAAGGATTATTTTGATGCAGAGAGAAAGATGATTTTGATGACCATGATGATGGTGATGATGATGATGATGATGACTATCATGCCTATAACTATGACGATGATGATGCCAATGATGGCGAAGGTGGTGATGATCATGATGATGCTGATGATGACGATGGTGATGACGGTGATGGTGATGCTGACGATGATGATGACGATGATGGTGATGATGACGATGGTGAGGACGAGGATGAGGATGATGAGGATGAGGATGAGGAGGATGATAATTTTGTTGTTGATGATAATGATGGTGATGGTGATGGTGATGGTGATGGCGATGATGATGGTGATGGCGATGATGATGATGATGATGATGATGATGGTGCTGGTGCTGGTGCTGGTGCTAGTGCTGGTGCTGGTGCTGGTGCTGGTGCTGGTGCTGGTGCTGGCGCTGGTGATGGTCATGGTCATGTTCATGGTTATGGTCATGGTGATGGTGATGGTAGTGGTCCGGTGACGTGATGATTGTGGCGATGCTGACATTGATGATAAGGCCGATGATGATAACATTGATGATAATGAGGAAGAGAGGGAGAACATAAAGCTGATCACGATGACAAGCAGGAAAACGATGATGAGTGGATGGTAGTCATTGTGACGACCATGACGGGAAGGGTTTATCTCCGTATTGTCTTTGCATTCATTAGCATGACCATGGCTGGCAACCATGGCGTCAGAGCTCTGTTCTTGCATGCTCTAGGGATCCTACAGACCTTCGGAGCCTGCTCTGCGCTAGCCCAAAACCTTTCAACCCCAAACACTCTGTCCCAAACTTTGCGGGCACGCGCACAAGCACACACCAATGCGCGCGCGGACACACACACACACACACAAACACACAGACACACACATATGCACGTACGTGCGCGCGCGATTTAGTAAAGCTGAAGCCAGGCCTTCTTTCGCCGAAAGCTTCGCGCCATTCAGCCATGACACGGCCTGGACAAAGATCTGCTGACCTGCTGCGACTGAGCGATTAACAGCGTGAGATGTGAGGTTTAGGTATGTAGGTATGTTGGTATGTAGGCATGTAGGTAAGTAGATGTGTGTGTAATCCGGGTGCGAGCTGTGGGGGTGGCTGTGGTCGTGGGGGTGGTGGCCGCCGTTTCCAAGGTGGCGGTGGCGGCAGTAGGCCCCCGAAGATCAATCCCAATGCACCGCCCTGTGCGTGGCCTCGCTGATGCATGACGCTAAGGCCATCCTCGCTTGCGACAGTTAAGACATTCGATACATGGACCTTTGAAAGGGTTCCGGGCTGCTGCTTCGACATGCTTACCAGACTTCCCGCAGCGAAGCTTCATGATGACACGTGATGGCCTGCAAGCCGCATCTTGCACTGCACTATTCTATCCCTAACTATTGCGACACCTTACATGCGGCGAGATCGTGTTGTTACCTGGCTATCTCGCTGCATTTCAAACCTTTGTTACTGTGAATTCTCTTGCAAGCAGAACTCCTTGTACTTGTACCATGTGTGTATAGCATCACCCATCATGTGTGGCACTGTTTTTAAAGCAATGGGCACCGTCCAAACAAGTAGTTCCCGTCTTGCCTCCTGGATGACATCACTATCGGGGTTCAACGCCGTACTAGCCTTTGCCGTTTGTTCAGGGCCTAGCATCGGAGGGTTCTGCAGCGGGCCCCAAGCCTTCCTAGACAAGGCTATCCGGAGGATGCTGCAGTCGATAGCTGGAGGAGCCTATCATAGCCTGATGAGCTAAGTCTAACTTCAATTTCGGCCAATTTCGAGCCTCTAGCAGAAAATGGCCTGCATCGTCGCGCCAGGGAGCAGCACAGTGCCGCAAACCGAAAGACAACAGATCATGCTTCATGGGGCAACCAGGCTAAGAAGACTTCACTAGAACCAGAAAGCAAGGACGCATATGACAGCAACTGCTGCAGGTCCTGGAGGAACTGTCGGCAACGGAGGTTGGCGGCTGACATGCTTCCGGTCAACCTTTTTGCTCAAGGATTCAGGTCCCGAGTTTTGGGTGCATCCGGCAGGCAAAGATCTGGAATAGCAACCGAGGCGAGCCACTGACTAGGACGATCCCCAACAGGCCACAGGATATAAAGCTACGTGATGCTACGTGGTTTTGCCAACCCGGCCTCTGCACCTCATCGAGCAGCATGTCCTGAGAAGTCTCCCTTGATGGGACAACCGAATCTCTCCCGGTCCCTGACTTTTTCTCCTGTTTTTTCTTCTGGATAGTACCCCCCCTCCTCTTTTAAAGGTCACCCACGAGGGCGACCCGATTCCTCACAAAATGCTTGTTAACGTAACACATGCAGGCAGCAGCTTTGAAGACGTGGCTTCTTGGGCTCACAAATGCCACACACACCCGTCGATTGGGGCGGGGAGTGGCACGGGGATCAAGCATGGGATGTGCATGCTGGAGGTCAGCTCCAGACACAAACCCCCAAGAGCTGAAAGACCCACCTGTTCTCTAACTGCTGCAGTCCTTCTCGGCAATGCTATCGCACTGCGCAAGCTGAAGGTCCAGAGTGGAGATGGCGCTGCTCACCTGCAACTGGGAATCCGCATGTCTGGCACTCGGTTGAACTTGCGGAGTTTCGATGTCAAGCTTCGCAGCTCCGGCGCTAGGGAACCTCCCCCTACTAACGTCCCTCGCGGTGCCTTGAGGATGTAGCTAATGGGCATTCCGCCCGTGCCCTCGCTAAGGAGCCCATGTGGGGAGCAGAGCTTCAGAACCATGGGACCTCGGCGAGATGAGCGTGGCACTGGGTTTAGGGCTTCTGAAGTGCTTGTATTTCTGTATATATAGGATTTGGAGGTTGGAGACTTTGCTCACTGAACCCTTGCAGGCTCCCAAGCCGAGGCACTGGGCCTGAGACAGTAACAAGGCACAAAGGCGAGTAGAAAACGGCACTAAGATGTATAGGCCCTCGTCGTGTGCTGTTCCTGTCTTCGCCAGTCTGGGTCGCCGACGCCCGGATCCACGCACTTGCGTGGCCAGCAAAGCCTCGTGGAGGCACCACCTGCAAACAGCATCAGGATACTTCATGCTTCTCGGAGCTCGAAATATGCGGCTGGTACGAGATCCCCTTCTACTTGCACATGTCTCTGGCCAAAACCCAAAAAAGTGTGCAAACCTCAACACACCCCAAAGGAGAATAATTCGACTGGAGGAAAGCCTACGGGTCCAAGAATAGCAGAATACGAGCTTCTGGCGCAGTCGACACCATGAAGGTGCTGCTCATGGCTATGCTTGCTTGCTGTACATCAACAGAGGCCCAAATTGATCCAATGCGAACGACCCAGACTCTCGCAAAGAGACGACTCCAGATACCCACGTACCCAAAAGCACCCTCCAAAATGCAACCTCACAATCCCAGGCCCTCATCCAACTCTGAACTCTATACCTCCAAAACTCAAGATCCAAAATCCAAACACCCCGACCCGAGCACCCGAAACCCGGAAAGCCCCCCAAGTGCCAACTCCTGGGTTTCGGGGCGCTGAGCTTCCGGCAGTCTGCGAAGGCTCTGGGCTTCGGTCCCCAGGATCATCACAAAGCCTGACAGGGAAGGTTAGGGTCCAGGAATTGGGATTTAAATTTAGGGGTTTAGGGTGTTTTTCGGGCTTAAGGTTGAGGGTTTTGGGTTTAGGCTTTAGGCTTAGGGTGTCACAGTCGTGACACCTGCTTGTAGAATCATGAATAGATTCCGCTCATGATGGCTAGCTCTGCTTACTGTTACTGCTGTATCAATGCTACTGCATTCAATGGATCTCAGCTATTCGCATCCATGCTGGTTCTGTCCCGACTATAGGTACTTGTTGCTACCAATATCACTACTATTGTTCCGAAAACGGTCATGTTTAAAGTGATTTAGGCTGATTAGGAGTCACCTCTGCTGTTGATATGAGTCTCATCATTATTGCTGTTTTTGCTTTTTTGACAACTGCCAATCGAATCGTACCTGGTTGGTGATCTAGGGATTGTTACTGGCATTGAATACCGGCACGGCGGTCGCTACTAAAAGTGTTGTGCTCGATATTCTGATTGTTCCTGCAAGTTTCGGCAATGACGAAAGAGGCGTACTGCGAATAGGGGGTAAAGAAATACTGTGAAGTACTGCACCACAATGGTTTTGCTTCTGGTGTTCTTCGCGTGTGCCCTGCCTGGGGTGTTGCAATGTTGTCGCTCATCGTATCGCTGATATTCTAGATACTAGATGGTACTCAGGTGAATACCTTAGGTAGTCAGACTCGACCCCGGCTGTGCATCCAACCGGGCACCAGTGCATGAAGAGGCAAGTCGCAGCTGAAAGCAGTAGAGTCGGCCCCAGATTAAATCCCAAAACCTAAAGCCTAAATCCTGCTTCTGCCACTCATGTCGCAGCGAGCGGCTGTGGCAGCTCCGGCTGGTGAGGGCATCGCCGCATAGCGTAAGCCGGTCCTCGTCCCTTGCTGGCGACCTCTCCAGGCATGTCTTCGATTTTCATCAAACAGAACCATGGATCTGCATAATGAGTGGTTACCATGAAGGTTGCTACATGTGATACAGAGCCATGCGAAGCCTCTGTGCTAAATCTAGCTCCCATACGACCACTAGCTCTGGAAGGCTAGAGCGGATCAAACGCAACACTTAAGGCGTCGCAAGGCGACAGGGGTCTTGCAATCCCAGGAGCCAGTGGTTGTTCGAGAAAGCGCAGATCCAAAGGCGCGTGTTCCTGTGAATTGGCGTTCGGTCTCTGTCTGCTCCAATGATTCAACCGCAGAGTTCAAGTTGAAGACTGAACTAACTTTAGCTTGGGATGCCTCGACTTGGACTTGTTCAGGTCTAGGGGTTACAAGGCTAACAGTGAGGGCCCGAACGAAACTGCATCGAAGTGCAAAACTATCTCTAAACGAACGGTTGTCGTCAAAATCTTAGAATTTTGCCTGGAGGATGCTCTGAAAGCAAGCCAGGGGCTTCTCAGTTAGTTGTAGCCCATACCTGGGGGCTTCCGGGCGCTTCGTACCACGGCTAGAGAGGCACAAGGACACCCTGTAGCAGACTAACCCTAATCATATGCCAAGGAGCTCTGCACGCATACTGCAGTGTGAGAGGGACTTGAAAAGCTCATCCACCTGAAAGCGCGTTTAGAGTTCACCGTGTTGGGTCCAGATCCCTTCGAAGAGTACAGGAATTCAGCTGGGGGCCTTTTGGCGGACTGCACCCCGTGCAGCCAGGAACCGCAAGGGAAGAAGCACCCCACGCGACATGGAATAAGTTCGATGGTTCAGAACTCTTAGAAGCTAGCCGATGTAGCCCTGCTATTCGCCTCTCAGAAACGGAAACCCAAAGAACCCTGCATCCTCTGGCGATATCCAAGTAGCATCTTGGCCCCAGTGGTGCGAAACGAAGGTCTGCACTGGGCCCGGGGTATACCTCTGTGCTCTGCTCTATGGGTTCAGGGCTGAGGGCGCTAGGATTGAGGATTGCGGGCAGTAGAAGGCCTCGAGAATAGGAGTTTTGGAGCACGCAGGGTGTAGAGTCTGGAATAAGTACTGGGTGATAGGAGCTGATCGGGTTTTGCTCTCTTACGATCGGTAGCAGGTTGAGGAAGCAAATAGCAGCAGCGGAAATTGAAATTGTAGCTTTCGTCGAAGTAGAATAAGGAAGCGCAAAAGTGTTACAGTAGCTGTTGCCGCAGGTAGTAGCCAACACTGTCTTTGTAGAAGCTCGTAGCAGGTGCTCTGTCGAGCTTCAGCTGCCCAGACCCCTCGAGACTTGGACTGTTGCACCGCTAGAATAACAACAAAAACGACAGCCTTGATTTTGATGTTGAGGCCGATGAAAATGATGACGACGACGAGGATGATGATGATGATGAAGGTGATTACGATGAGGACGATGATGGTGGTGGTGATGATGATGATGGCGATAGTGACGATGGTGATGGTGATGACGCCGCTGCTGCTGCTGCTGCTGCTGGTGGTGGTGGTGGTGGTGGCGGCGGCGGCGGTGGTGGTAGTGGTGCGCCCAAACCGGCCCGAACCGCAACGTCGAGGTGCAGCTCTGCAAGCGAACACTGCGCCAGAGCCGTGTCGGGCAGCACTACACGTGTGATGGCGGATTTCCTGAGCGAAGAGTCTGCGTTGAAGCGCTAGGGTGGTGCTTTCTAAATGGGACTCCTGTGGAGTCTCTAGGACCCTGCTTCCAAGCACTCCGCCATGGAGGCGTTCACTATTTCGGGTCGAAGCAGACTTGGGCATGGGCGTTTCAATGAAGTCTACAATCCGGCCTCTCCGCACCACACGTTTTGTGGAATGACTTGATCCAATCAAAGGTCCCCAGCTCTAAGCAGCAGTTACGAAACGGTGCCGCTCGATGAAAAGGATTGTATGAAGGCCTCTCTGTTTCGTCCTCAACCCAGAAGACAAGTCGTAGTAACCTTGTAACAGTCCATGCACCTCCACGGCTGAGGGGCTTTGGCATCAAGGGTGGGCCTAGAGATGATGTTGAGAATTCAAGTTAGATCCATTAGATGGAGAATCCTTTGCCAGGCCGCATGTCAGTGGCCTCGCCCTGCATCGCACCTCGCGCTCCCTGCGGGTCCCAGGGTTTGTGCGGTCCCAAGCTCCATCCATTCCAGCACGAACCGAGATTTTTCTGTTGCAGGTCTTTTGCCATGGTTCGGATCCTTATAGGGATTGAATTTCAGCGCCGCGACCCCAAATAAGTACATAAATTAAGCTCTATGCAACCAACTTCTAACCGAAATCTCTCTCGCTGAATGTGCCGACTTCTCTCCACTCCTGCCACCAGAAGCTGAGGTCATGGAAACGGATGCCACGCAGCCTGTGGAGGATTTGGAAGAGCTTCGGGTTGGGCGAAGCCCAGGACTTCTGAGGACTGCAATTGCGACTCTGCACCACGATCCACGCATGCCTAAGCCCTAAGCAACATGGGAAAAGGTGAACACCCACATAACACCCTCGCTTTCGACACCCGGCCTGCTTACAACACGCACTGGGGTTTCGAAGCTTTTTCAGGTCTCGGCCTGTGTGGCCAGGACCAGAGCAAGGTGATCAGCTGGGCATGGCTGGACTCCTCCGCTCTCCACCTGCAAGCTACGCAGCGTTGGAGCTGAGAATTTCAGAGAATTCCGGGCTTTGTGCAGCTGGAACTCAGGGCTCGGAAGGGTTCGTTCAAGTGATTCGGGAGATTGAGGTCTACATGCCGTTCTGCATGGGATGTAAATCCAAGAATGTTTGGCCGAAACATCGACGAAAGCATTGATTCTAAAATTGGCTGCCGATTCGAGATCAATTAAGGCCGGTGTGTTCTGCCCCTGGCTTCTCCGAGCAGTGTGTGCTAATGGGGCCGGATAGGGTTCAGGGCATATAGGCTTTGGTGTAGGGTTTGAGGTTTACGGGGATTAAGGCTTTAGACGCCTCACAACCCTACAGAAACCTCAACTACTACAACTACAGCCCTAAACCCCAAACTCCCAAACTTTGGCTATCATCAGGAGTGACCTGGAGGAAAGCACCCGAAGGTGCTCTGCGTCTGGCAGCTGCACGGACTGTTCGCCTGCAGGCTCTGTCATCTAGGGAATCTAGGGACACGTCATGATGATAGGGATTGAAATGACATGCTGCTCATAAACCCTAAACCCTAAACCCTAAACACTAATTATTCAAGCATCTATCTTCGACTCCGGAGAGGTGTGTCCGAGGGCTATGGCTCTCTCTTGAAAGAGAAGGCAGCTGCCTTGAAGGGAAAGCTTCGTCCAGCACAGAAGCCCTTTGCCCTTCCACCCAAACCTGCAAGAGCCCCAAGCCCTAAAACTCTAAAAAAAACCGAGCCCCAAAAACCGTAAATCCAAACACCCCCTCCTCAAGTCCAAGAGCCCTAAACCCTAAAACTCTGAACTCTGTACTACACCTACAAGGGGGTTTCTCAGGGGATGTGGGTGTATGGATTTGTGCTTTCAGGGTCTAAGGGCAGTCGGGTCTAGGGCTTGCGGGCTTCGAAACTTAAGCTGTAGTTGTAGTGTATTTAATTGCTAAAGTGGATCTCTCCACCATTCAACCCTGATACAAGCCTGCGACTGGTGACACCACAATCTGCGGCAAAGTTTGCGGCAGCCACCCGGGCGAGTCCTGCCACAGTACTCTCACGACTCAGCAATTACGCCCGCTTGAAACTTCACTGGCTTTCTTGATGATAAAGACTTCTACATATTCCTTCTATGTTCGGGCTCAGGGTTTGGCGGTGCAAGGTCGCTGTTCATCCGGAGCTGTCAAGCATACCGTAGCTACTGTAGTTTACGACATGGGTCCGCAAGCAATTCATGTAGAATTTAGGTTTTCAGGCATTAGGCTAGAAGGTTGCTGCCGCGTACTCAGGCCCGGAATAAGACCTTGGGTGCGATCGGATCACTCGAGGTTGCAAAAGCTCTGGAGCGAATCTGCTGGAACACGGTAGAGCCCTGTCGCTGTAAGACTGTGCATGATCTGCACACCAGTTGCCGCCACCTTCTCGGATCCCAAACCCTCGGCCCTACCTCAGGGAATCCCAGCATCCTATACTAGACGTGCACCTTGCAGAATGCATCGTGCTCCGTGGCCTTCGACAGGGACAGCGCGAGGCGGATAGTGGTCGTGTCCGAGCCCAAAGACATCCCTGAGTTCTCCTCCGGGATTGGGAGGGTTCGGGAGTTTGGGGGGTTTAGGGTTTATTCGGGTCGAGGGTTCAGAATTTGTTTTAGCGTAGCGCGGCACATGGAGGTCTAGCGTGAGGGATTGTTTTCCTGAGTTGCTCTGTCGCCACAAACTAGTATGGCTTGAGCTGAAACCCCCATAGCTTATAACGCCGGGGCGCCTTCAGCTGCACGGCCTTCGAGCCTTTTCCGATTGTCGCTTGGATGCTGAAAGGCGTCAGGTTGAGCAGGAAAACACCTTGCAAAGCGCAGGACCACAGAGCACATCTCGCGAGCGAGAGAAAGAGAGAGAGAGAGAGAGAGAGAGAGAAGTAACAGCAGAAGAACGAGACAAAGAAAGCAACATATTGAATTGTCGAAAACTAACCAGAGACAAGACCGTGAGTTCAACAGGGCGAAGCCCCAAGCCTTACATCTCCCATTCATGAAGTTGCGGCAAGCCCGAATGCTAGAGGCACACATGGCCTCCTAAAACTGATTCCGATGGCCGTGCACTGGTTTGACGTGCCACTTACGGAGCCCTACGACGCATGAAGCAGAAAGGCTTCAAAAACAACCCGAACCCTACACCCTTCGACGCAAAATTCCCTCAACCCTGAATGCCTGAATCTGAAACCTGAAATGCCGAAAACTCCACGGCCCCAAAGCTCATAAAGCCCCTATAGAACCCGTATCATCAGCCCCCCATTTGATCCACAAGCCCTAAATCCTCGACACTAAAAGGCCCTAAGCAACCTGCCCTGCGACCACTCTGACCGGGTGGCCCTTGGCCGCTTCCTTGAGTCGCCCCCCCGGAGCCTTGGCTTCGTTTGGGTTTAGGGATTCTTTTGACGTACTGCTGATGATAAAAATCCTGCATGACCTTAAGGACCCTAAATTATGGGAATTATGGTATATTCCTTGTGTGGGTAATTCGCAGGATTTATATCATCAACCGTAGTGGCTCGTGTCTCATGTCGCACTCCTAAATTCTGGCTTGCAGAAAAGACAACACTGGTAACCAGGGGGTCATACACAGGGCCACTCAGCAAGAGGGGAGGTACAAAGCGTTTGGGGCCGAAAATATCGGTATGGTTTCTAATCTAACAACCGAGGGTTTAGGACTTTGGGTTAGGGTGTCAAGTTTGTAAAGTTGAGGGGGGGGAGTGCTTGCAGGTGTTCGGCCCTTCTGCACGTGTCTTTTCTTACTCCTTTCACAAGCATAAGTTGTTGCTTGCACGCTTCCTTCGCTATTCTTGTCCTTAAGCCTGCTGCAGCTATAACTTTGTGATGTCTGTGAACGCGTAGAACTGTTCTGCCGTGTCCGCAAAACAGGAAACCGAAGCAACCTAAAACCTGCAGTAGAAGCCAGAAAGTTGGAACATCAATGTCCTCATGCCCTTAAGGTACAGCATAAGGAATCCTAGCACTAACCATCCTAAATCCATGTTCGAACTTTCTGGGGCTCACTGTAGACCCTCAAGATTGCAAGCAAGCGGCCAAGCGCCGTCCATAGATCAATGCGAGGTCACGTAGGCGCGCGAGGTCGTAACTCCAAAAAGAATGATTGAGAAAGGGCTTGGGGTAATGGAACCATGGACTTCAAAGGGAGGATAGAAACCAAGAGTAGATTTGAGACTTCCCAAACTCTGCAGCCCAGCAAAAACCTCGTTTCCATTAATTTATGATTTATTTACGAATAATTTACGATTTTGATTTACGATTTCAAGAATTGTGGTTTTTTAATTTATGCAAAAAAATTGAAATAAATATGAAAAAATACAAAAAATACGATCTGAACCTAGTCAAATTTATGAAACTTTTATGAAAAAATACGATTTGAACAATAATTTATGAATAATTTATGAAAATAATACGATTTGCACTACAAATTGTAGAATTTGTCGTGCAAATCTTTCATAAATTATTCATATTTTTTTGTTCAAATCGTATTTTTTCATAATTTTTCAAAATTTGACTGGGTTCTTTTTTATTTAATTTAATTTCGTATTTTTTCATATTTTTTTTGCCAAAATCCGCCAGCCCAAAATCATATTATTTTCATAAATTGAAAAAACCGATTTTCGAAATCATAAATCCAAATCGTAAATATTTCATATTTTTTTCATAAATTAATTCATTTTCCGAAACCCAACATCCTCCGGGGTCGGGAAGTCTCAAGAGTAGATGAGCGCTGCACGATCAGAAGCTCGAGGTTCAGAGCCAGATGTCGAAAGGCAAGTGGGTACTGTAGTCAAACATTTCTAACATGGTGAACTCGATTCTCCCTTGTGGTAAATCACAGTATGGATGCTCATCCTGAGGCAAGAGAGCAATTTGTGAACGGCTACATCCCCACCACCACTACCACCACCACTACCACCACCACGACCACAACAACAACAGCAGCAGCA